TTAGAGCAATAATTCCAGTTCTTCATCTGACAACCTTATCTTAGCTGAGCTTATGAAAATAAGTTGACTTCAGTGCACCATTTCCCTACAAACCTTCATAGTTGCCTACTCACACGGTCTGTCATCCTTGTGTGTCATCCTTATTCCATTGCTAATGTCAGTATAGCTTGGGTGCAATTGCTATGTGGAATGATGAAGTAGGGACTTGGTGCAACGCAGTATCATTATTGCCATTGTCTAAGAGGCACCTACTAGAAGTTGTCTTAGACGGGGTCAATCTTCTGGGTAGACTAAGAAAAAGGTAATGCCAACGGAAATGGTACGTAAGTGTCTTAGTAAATTACATCGGAAAGGAATCAGCGCATAGGGAAAATTTGTTCACCTTACGAGCACCGAATAGCTGCACCTCAGGCGCACTAAAGTCAATCGTAACCAAGTAGTTTAGAGCCACAACAGGATACACAACGGTATGTATAAACGTATGAGTACTTGGATGACAACCATGCTACATCTTGGATATTTGCAACACAGAGCGAGCATTGTTTGGAAAACCGCAATTTTGACAGTGGCCAGTGGGACTTAGTTGTTGTAGTACTATGGCAGTTGTCGTGCCAAATAAGACGTAAGAGGCGAACACCAACAGTACGTATTGGGTACTTAATCTCATGCCTGTGCAAGTAACTCTTAGCCTGACCTCCAAATGAAACCCACACATGTTTGTTCATACATGCTTGTTCATGCGGACTAATGTGTCTCTGTCCAGTTTTGTGACAGTTAATAATGAAGTCCGTGGAAACACATGTGCATATGTTGCATTCGAACTGCCATTGGATACAGATGACGGCAATCTAGGTATATATGTATACCGAATGAATTCCACGAGGATCTTCATACCGCTTTTGTACGGTTAACTTGGTGCAGTAGAACGACATTCGAGCAAACTGAAAATAATATTACCAGAACATGAGGAAGGTGAGTTTATGACAAACTCATGTTGATTTCAGGTGTTGCGAATCCAAGGCAAATTTGATCGATGCGAATTCCGTGAACTACTCAAAAGGGCGGTTTCTTAGGTGCCGGAGAAGGCACAATTGTATGTGGAATAGAAGCACCATGAGTATGTTCCCATTCAATTTACTAATCCAGGCCAATAAGGCGGCGTATGTGGTACGTTTGCCTGCGTGATGAGTAATCTTGCATTTCAGAAGTAGATGTTGCTTGAGTTCCCCTGTGTGGATGCGCCTGATGTGAATGTTGACAAGGTGCCTACCTGTCTATTACCCACTACCTCGTCCATACTGGCTCCAGGAGACAGTTGGTCGTCGCTGGAGGGGACGGAGTGCACCGTCCTCGTGATGGTGCTAGGCTCAAAGAGTGGTTCCATGCAATCTGTGTGGAACGGGCTACGGTCCAGCCACCGCCTCGTGTACGTCTGGTGTGTATGGTTTCCCAATTAGGCCGGAATGCTTCCGATCTGCTTGTTGAAGGAGTGTGGGCCGGCTCCGTTGATGAAACGTGGCTCCCATCCGCATGCCTCCGGGTCTTATTCCTTCGGGTTTACACTGGATATGGGGTGTGTGGGTGGAACTATGGGTGGTGCAGCGCAAGCCACCCATGGTCCCCTTTGTAGGCGCAGGCGTCCTGTGACTGTCCCCATGGACGTCACAGTGACAGGCAAATCCGGATACGGACGCCGCCAAATCATATGTATATATATATGTAAATAAATAAATAAATAAATATATATATATATATATATGTATATATATGTGACATTTGTATATTGTTACCTCGAGCAAAATTTTCCCATGTACCGATGACATAAAAATGTTTACACTTATAATCCAACTGAGGTCAGTGTAATGCTAAGCGATAACCAACATGACTTAAATGTGCTCGACTCATGGAGTTCCACAAGGATGATGGCATTCTGCTGATACATGTCACGTATTATCCTACAGATATGACATTATACCAGGTTCACTTATAATTGCTAGTGAACTATGGTCTCACTGCCACAGTATCAGTGACTTGGTATCCAATATTCAAACACCCTTAAATTTCCCGAACACGCCGGACATACTGCAGCTAAAGGCGGGGGGAGCATTGAGCTTCTGTTCAAAACATTCAACCTGAAAGAATCAATTAACATTATGTATAAGATAAAAACAAGTCCAATGCTTGATCATAGTTCCATCATTTACCGTAATGATAGTGCGAGTGATCGTATGACACTGGAAGGTATACAATGAACATTGAAGCGTCATGAAAGATAACTGCTATCTTTCATGTGCAATTTAATTGTTGACCGATTGTACATTACTCCTTCTTATTTTAATCTTCCTTACAACCGGCTCGTCACTCGACCACCTTGTGAGTTCCCGCGCTCACATGTTCGCTCTTGTCTTGCTTCATCCGTCCGCCTCATCTTGTAGCGCATCGAATACAGTCTGCTGTGTCCGACTCCCATTGCCTTCTGATATCCGCGCTTAATTTCGCGTATTAACTAGTCCTACACCATTTACTAAGCGTCTACTTGGCTATATTCCACCACCCTTTCTACTATGGATAATTGCATGGCCTTAAAACTTGCTCCACTCTGGTTACGAAGAATGAAAATAAACCTTTTTATCTTCTTTAATACACTTACCCAAAAAATACACTCCTCACACCCAACGGTACAACGAGCGGAATTGTCAATGTAGTGTACTCGAAATAATAATAACAACAAAGTAAAAGTGAGAAGATCACGAACAAAACTGTCCGACACCTTTTTCCCCACAATGGAACAGACTTCCATCTAAGATACGTGAACTTTAGTCAGGGATAAAATTCCGACGCGCTATACTTTCGTTTCTAAACGTAGAAACAGCAGTCGGTATACTGCTACCTACCATGACAAATGAATCCCAGTACGGAATAGGTGCAAGATGGATGTAGTCTAGATACCTGGATACTATTTTATCGTGTTGCCAGAACTATCTGCCCACCACACGTCTATCAGTAGATAAAACCTGTTTTCTAAAGTAACCAATATCCGGAGTAAGATGAAGTTTAGGTTTCTCAAAGCGGAAATATGTCCTAGAGCTCGTCGCTAGGAAACTGCTTCATATTCGTTCTGCAATACTAATCATTTTCTACTTTTTACTGGAGGCCACGTCTTAGGGACGTGCTGCAGTTCTCCTTGCTCCGCGAAAACAATATAGACATTGTCTCCGCTTTTGGCTGGATTCACCTGATGGCACTATCTGAAAACCTACCAGGAGCGTCCATGTTTCCCATCACTCCAAATGCTTACCTCCTTCAAAATGAACTTTGCTTACCGAATGCCGCTAAACTGTTGGAACGACAGCAAACTTGCTCTACATTGCATGCAGTTTTCTCTCCTTCCCTGGAGAAAATATATTTTGTACACCTACGGCATTTCTTAGGGCAATAACAATTGATTTCATACCACCATTCTCCCAGATTTGATCTCCTACGACTGTTGGAGCCATCTCAATTATTTCCCCTGAAAATTCCTTTTAAAAAACACGTACACCTGTGTGTTTAGACCTCCAGTGATACTTTGTACAATCTGCATCGGACAACGTCGGACAAATGCCCGTCATCTTCGCATTACTATTCCTTCATCATTTATCTTTTTTGTTTATTTCTCTCCTACCACTGTTGGCCACGACTGAGACGATTTCCAGAGCTGAGGGATAAATGCTTTCAAAAATGCAGTACACTCATGAAATGCGAATTGTTACGAACTCACTGGTGAATATTAAAACTAAATGGCTCGAATTAGCTAACTGATGGCTGTATGATGGGGAGAGCTTAACAAAATACACAAACCCCACAAAAATGTATACATATTTGTGTATGATGTGTCACCATAATGATGACAAAATTGCATATGACAACAGCCAACAAGAAAAAAAAACGAGTCGGCAAAATACATCGACTACTTGCATTAAGCCACAACAGCACGTGGCTAGTTGAGATGTGTAAGTGATGTGCGAAAGCAGCTCTCCGCGAGACGGTTCCAGAAAGGGTCACATTACTTTACTTGACCTGACGGTTATAACAACTTTCTTCTTACTCACAACTTCTCCAAAGTTTACTACTTTTTAATGATTGAGCACCTCAAACACTTTAATGAGAACATAACAGATCTTGAAAGATCCCTCCACCATCCAACTTTATTGTACCAATTGATCAGGCTGGTAGTTTGCCTGTGTCTCGAATGTCGAGAAATATACCGTTTAGTTAGTTATTTATTTCTTACCCATTACTTTTATTCATTATTTCCTAATCTTCTATTTCTATTTACTTAGGCCTCATATTTTCACCACGGTTGTTTATCGATAACCTAGCGACGCGAGTCTTGTTAGTTGGATTCACCTTACTTCACGGCCCGGGCTATAGTTGTTTGAGTACACTTAACTGAAACAAGGCACTGACTATTTTCACTTAAGCTCCAACCACGCTGCCCAGCTGCCAACTCACTTACGGAATAAAGATCACACAGTAAATCTAGCCCATCATTTTACAGAATGCATGCCAGCTTCATGATATTTCTCTTAAGTTAATTTTACTAGTACCATGCCAAAATATTGCATCAGATTCGGCGACAATGATGGAGAATGGGAACGAAAAATTTTTCTGGTCAAAGCTGTTGTTGAATCGTCCAACCTTGGTGCGCAAGTTGGTAAAAATGAGCCAAAAGGTATGTGGCGAAAGAAATGGCCTGTATCCCGCACTGAGAACGATTTTTTTCTGTAAACTGCCGGATTGAATGGCTTATGAGGTTTTTTCAAATCCTAAACATGGGGCTAGGTCATACATTGTGGTGAGCGTGGCGGTTCGTTGTTGAGTAGTTGTCCTGTTGCATCAGTAGTGCCATTGTAAGACTGCCCTGTACTATGGTAACGAAAGCACATAACCTTTTACTGATGCCCATTTATTCTGCCAACATGAGAAGACTGCCGACTTGGAAGTGGAAATATGGCAAACTATAACTTGCTGCCGCACTGGCTCTTCATTCCAAATCGCCACCAGAGTAGGCGTTGTTGCGATGGTCGCACGACTCCATGCAAGGTCAGCAGCCGATTTGATTTCAGCGACGCTGTGGATTTCGGATACACGATTATGACGCCCACCATGTCCATCGTTGCACGGAGTAACTTGTTCAACATAATGCCAGTAAAGACGTCATCTAAGGGAAAGTGCTGGGTAAACCGGCTACTCACGTACAGTTCCAAAGCCAAGTGCCTACTGATGAAATGGGAACCTCCGGAGACGAAGTTTGGATAATTGGAGTAAGGGTACAATGTTTGGTTAACTGCCCATTTTGACCGACCCCTGACCACTTTTGAGTGCCGGTGTAGATATCCAAAAGACAGATATTTTGGAATTCCCTGATGCAAATGGCGAAGCAATGATCCCACCGACGTTGGATTCAGGAAAAAGTCATCATCAATCAAAAACAAAAATTCCGCCTTTGGGCAGTAAGCCAGTGCCCACCGTAGACCTAACATAAACTTATAAGTAATGTTGTAATAATCGTCAATGAAGTCCTGCTGAATCACATCTTTATGATGGAGGGCTTCCTTCAGAATACGTTGTTCTTGCTTCGCATCAGACGATACCCCGAGTAGAAACACATGTCTAACTGTCAAGCCAGTCCAGCAGGTGTCGTTTGCCCAGAGTTTACGAATTGCGTCCCTACGGCCCCACTGGTTGTGCCCTGATCTTATGAGCAACAAGAGGTGGATAGACTCAGTTTCCTCGGCCAAACACAACTCTGGTTGGTTAACAAGCAATTTGTAGGAGTGGTTTTGAATCGACTCTATTGCCAGCTTTTCTCCGTGCAAAAAACGACAAAGCTTTGCCAGTAAATCGACGTTTAATGGGTATGGAAACATCGTTGATCCATAAAACGCGTACTCACGGAAGTGGATTTGGGTCAGGTTCACTGAGGCGATAGATGGCGTCGTACAGCTAATCCGATCGATACTTTGTTTATACGTGAACAACGTGCCATCAAGGTTACCCAGGGCTTCCCATCGTCTATGGAACCACTCGATTATTTGTCTTGTCTTATGAGCGGTTGTTTCCGTAGTTTCATTACGGAGGAAACGTTGATGTTCCCATCGGGCGAACCAATACAGAATGAAGGCTAACCAATGGATTAAGACTATTATTCTCACCCTATATCCCAGGGCATACCACATTCAAATGCACAGCTCCCGTTGTCGACGGCTAATGTAACATTTTATGCAACTAGAGAGATCATAAGGAAAATCAATATGTTTTAAAACTCACGTGATCATCACTGAAAAGGAGAAGTGCACTGTGCTTTAACACCAGTGAATGTGCACGTCCATTACAAATGGCATTGTGCGGAATAGTGGGATTTCGTACGTGTACTAAAAGGAGATGTATGGTAGTTCAGAGCCATTTTAGAGTACATGTGTGCTTGGATTGCGGCGCGCCATCTCAATGTAGGCCGAGTTTCACACTGAAAGCAACCTTGGTCAATGTGATCGATGGGAACGCAGCCGAGGCAGATGGGAATTGGTTGTTCCCCGCCCGAAAACACTGCACACCACGACGTGTTACGGTCTCATTTGATCTCATCATGTGGAGACAGCAGGACTCGAACCCGCGACTACTGGACTAGTAGCCGGAACTGCTACCCCTTTGGCTACCGGGTGACGGCCCACAACGATGGGCACAACAGTGAATGACTGATTGGGGGGCAATTTTAGAGTACATTGTTGTGGCCGTCTTATCACAATGTCTCTTAACTCACGTGTCATTGGCTGCCTGAAACATAGCAAGTCACTTCTCATTGGTTGTAATTCGGACGATGAAACATTGACTATTCTGTGTGTTGCCTTTTGTATATTTCCGAATTGGTTATCGATACACCTCCTGAATTTCCATTGGCATTCTTGATACAACATCTGGCGTCGCCAGCCCAAAGATACACCTTTCTCTTCATCCCCCATCTCTATATTGGACTGATTGCGGAAGTGAATCAACATCCGAAGCATGGCTCCGTGGGAAACGAGCCTTCCAAAACTATCTGGCTTCAATCAGGGACTTCCATACTGCTCTTAGTGAGGAAAATAGATTGAAGCGACTTCGACATTGATTCTGAGATGAGGGGCAGCAACACTTCGATGAGTTGGACCTTCAAGAATGTAAATCTGTTAAGGAAGTTTTCAGTGCTTTCGATCCTACATGGGATTACCAAATGAATGTGCTCACTGGAATTTACCTTTTCTTCCGCATGCAACAGAAAATAGCTGAACGCTTGAACGATTTCATTAGGTCTCGCAATACGACCGTGTGCTTATTCGTCCATTCCCCTTAGAAAGTTCCAAGGCTGTATGCTGACTCAGCAACTGATTACCGGAATCGATGACAATCGTATACGTGAGGCGCTGTTGCAGAAAGAGATATGCACATTAAGATGGGAGCGAGCTTCTGAGTTAGCCAGAATGAAAACTGACCTTTCACTGCAATTGGAACATTTCTGTTCGACCAACTCAGCTGAAGTGGCAAGAGTGCAATCTTTCCGACAATTACCAGTGGACAAGCTATCTTGTTATCGCTGTTGAAGTGCTTCTCATGAAGCCAACTTCCTCACTCGTACCGCAAGTTGCCTTAAGTGAAACAACTGTGGAGAAATTGGGCACTGCACCTGATGTTGTCGGTTGCAAGCCATCTCATCTACCAGCAACCATGCTACACCTGAACGTCACGCTGGTGATCCATCTTAAATGGTTGGCAGCATCCGGTTTGGGATTTGCCTGTCAATTTGGCTAGCTACAACACTACTGCACCTACAGAGGGATCACGGGTGGCTTGCGCTGCACCACCCACAGATCCAACCACACACCCCATATCCAGTGAAAACCCGAAGGCGTATGGACGGCAGTCAAGCTCCATCAACGGAGCCGGCCCACACTGCTTCACAGGAAGACACAAACGCGCTGTATTTGGGGAATCAAGCGCACACAAGGCGGTGGCTGGACCGTAGTCCGCTCTACACCGACTGCATGGAACCAGTTTTCAAGCCTAGCACGGCCACAAGGACAGTGAACCCGTCCTCTCCAGCAACGACCAACTGTCTCCTGGAGCCAGTATGGACGAGGTAGTGGGTAATAGAGGGGTAGGTACGTTGTCAATATGCACACCAAACGCAGCCACACCGGAGAAATCAATCAACACCCACTCACTTGAAACGACAAGATGAAGTAAAATAAATCGAATACTGTATACAGATACGGTGGCATAAATATTCGCTAAATTAGCATATGGAGTAAGTTGCTTAGCAACGAATCCGCGATAAAGAAAAATGTTTACAAGATACTTAAAACTCCTACAAACGCAACAAACTTACCGAAGATAAGCGTGATTAGCGTAAGCAAGCTGTTCAGATGATATAATATTATTCAGAGAAGCAGAATAAACCAACTAAAGTGGAATGAAATTCATCCAGCTTAAAAAGACCTAGTTTAAGTGTAAGTTGGTTTAGGCCAACTGCGGTGAAGAAGCATCAAGAATGCAACGTCAGCCTGAGCATGCGGTACTCAGCCCCAATAATATATATATATATATATATATATATATGTCCGTTTAACAACACTGCGACGTGGCGGATGTGACTCGCCACTAAATAAAGTCACTGCCCCTTGCCCCTCCCTGCGAGGCATTGTACTTTAAGGGTGCGTTGGGCCCCTGGTCCTTCACGGACCGAAAGGTGTATGAACCATCTATTTGGTCACCGGCTCCCAACGGGTTGCGACGCCCCCACATCGCCCTGCCGCCTTGTAGTTTAGATCTTTGATCAAAGGCTCGGGGTAAGGCCCCCTAAGACAACCCTCTACTTCGGCCTGGGCAACCGGGTAGTATCACGCTCACTGACGAATCATGGACTACACCGCTCACTACTGCTACTGCTATGCCTCTTTTCTGTCCTAACTCAACTGCTCAACCTCCACTCACAGACCATTCCACCTCCCGTTCTTCACCTACATGTACTCTTATATCTTCTACGGTCACCGTCACAAACGACCCAAGTCTCGCAGCTGATGGAAGCAGCAGCCAAACACCCGGTTTTCAATGTCCTGCAATCGCAATCGCCTCTCACTTTACCGAAGCTCCAGCTCTTCTTCGACCTGGTTCTCCATTCATGCTCGCAGCTTTTAATGTTCGAACTTTGATGCAGATCGGACGACAAGCATGTCTGGCCCGTACTCTTGAAACGCTTCCGGTAGACATCTATGGCCTTTCAGAGACCAGATTACAAGACTCTAGCGCCGTCATTAGAATGGCCTCTCCGGTAAACTCTGACGCCAAATACTACTTGTGGCTTTCCGGAGACCCAGAATCTGCCGCCACTGGTCAAGCTGGTGTTGGGGTTGTATTAAGTGCCAGGGCTGAATCAGCTCTGTTTGACTGGATCCCAGTCAACAGTCGGCTATGTGCGGTCAGACTAAGAGGTTCATGTAACGTAAGTAGGCGTCGAGATGTTAAGCGTGCCTTATTTGTCGTCTCCGCCTACGCCCCTACAGACTGCAGCCGGATGTAGTTAAAGATAGCTTTTACCAACAACTACATGAACTTCTGCGTTCCTCCAAAAGGACGGATATAGTCATTCTTGCCGGGGACTTGAACGCACGGGTTGGCCGCCTTCTACCAAGCGAGCACCACATTGGGGGTAGTTTTGGTTTCGGTGGCAGTCGATCAGACAATGGAGACAGATTGCTTGCTCTTTGCTCTGATCATCGCTTGTTTCTTTCGAGCACTAGTTTTCGACACTCGAGGAGACACACTTCTACCTGGCGCCCGCCCTCACAAACGCAAGAGCGCTCCCAGCTTGACCACATAGCAATCAGCTACAGATGGCGCGGAAGCGTAACTGACTGCCCATCGTACTGGTCAACTTTTCTAGACTCTGATCACGCATTAGTTCGTGCTAAGATTTGCATGCGTTTCGGAGGATCACCTAAGCGCGCCCACTACCGACCGGACGTCGCGAATCTACAAAACGCTGCGATTTTAACCAGGTACCAAGCCGCACTGTCAACCTTGCTTGGCTCAACTATTGACGGTGATCTCGATTCGCAGTGGGCGCATATCAAAGATGTGTTAGTTTCCGCCAGTATCGACACTTGTAGGGTTACCCATCACCCACCGAAACATTGGGTTTCCGCCGACTCCTTGTCGCTGATGGACAGACGCCGCTTGATCCCATCGGATTCGAGACACGTTGAAGAACGCCAATACCTTGGTCGAGAGTTGCGCAGGAGTCTGCAAATGGACCGCGAAGCTTGGTGGTGTGAACGTGCTAGGGAGATGGAGTTTGCTAGTCTCTGTGGTAATACCAGGAAACTCTTCCATCACATTCGAGTCACCGAAAGTGTTCGATCTGGTATAAGTGAAACCATATGCGAAGCGGATGACACCTTAATCACCATTCTTCAACGACGGTTGGAGGGATGGGCCGAACATTTTGGCTCGCAGTTTTGTTGGCCCACAGCTCCATCTGCTACCTCTGGCGCTCGAACTGGGGCCGAGTGGTCTACCTCAACAGACCGCCCCTCTTCCCAGGAAATCGAGCAGGAGCTCCGGCACATGAAGCGTTATAAAGCCACCGGCCCTGATGGTCTTCCTCCGGCTCTATTTAAAGATGGTGGCGCATCGCTGGTCCGAGGACTCACCGCTTTGTTCTCGAATAGTTGGACGAAAGAGAAAGTTCTATCATCTTGGGGTGAATCGATAGTCGTGCCCATCTTCAAAAAGGGCCTGCGCACAATCGGCTCCACCTACAGAGGAATAAGCTTAGTCCCCGTCGTTTGCAAGCTGCTGGTGTCCACCATACTTCGCAGGCTATCCCCAACACGCGAATCGTTGCAGCGAGAAGAACAAGCTGGGTTTCGCCCTGGTCGCGGCTGCATCGATCAAATCTTCACACTTCGCCAGATCCACGAGCTCCGCCATGTGTATTAGAGACTAACGATTGCTGTGTTCCTGGATATCCGTGCAGCCTTCGATTTTGTTGATCGTACAGTACTGTGGCATCGCCTTCTGAGGAACGGTGTCCTTGAGAAGTTTGTCTCCATACTGCGCACTCTATATAGTCTGACCTCGGGCAGGGTTAGGGCTTATGGCAAGCTTTCGCCTACCTTTGTGGTCTCCATTGGAGTTCGACAAGGATGTCCCATCTCTCCGTTCCTATTCAACTTTGCCATTGAGGATGTCCTGAAGAACGCTCTGAGCGATTCGTTGAACGCTGGCGTTGAGCTCCTCCCAGGTAGTCGAGTTGTTGATTTGGATTATGCTGATGATATCGTCTTGCTGGGTGACGATCCACAGGTCGTCCAAATTGCATTAAACCGCTTGGCGATTGAAGCATCAAAGTACAGTATGTACTTTTCGCCATCCAAATGCAAGGCTGTCCTTCAAGACTGGCAGGTGCCTCTGCCTGCACTCACGCTTGCTGGTGAGACAATAGAGGTTGTGGAGAGCTTTGTCTACTTGGGAAGTTGCATCACTGCTGGCGGGGCTGTTGGAGACGAGAGTTCGATGCGCATCACGAGAGCAGGCCTCACTTTTTCTAGCCTGAGGCGTTTGTGTCGTCGCCACGACATTCGTCTCTCCATCAAAGGGCGGGTCTATTGTGCAACTGTTCGTGCTGTACTGTTGTACGGATGCGAGACCTGGCCCATTCGTAAAGATGACTTGCGCAGGCTATCCGTCTTCGAGCACCGCTGTTTGCGGTCCATTGCCCGTGTGTGGTGGCAGCACCACGTAAGCAATGTGGATGTTAGACAGCGTGTCTTGGGACGTGGAAGCCACTCGCTCGAGGAGCTCATCTCACTGCGTCAATTGCGGTGGTTGGGACACGTATTGCGCATGCCTGTCCAGCGTTACCCCCGTCGTGCGTTTTTTTGCACTTGCTGGGCAGGGCTGGAAGAGACGGTCTGGTGGACAG